TCAGCACATTAACTTCACGTTCTTTCTCTATTTTCATTCTTTCTTTCTTTCTTTATTTGTTTCTTTCTTTCTTTATTTCTTTATTAATTTCTTCATTTCGTTTTTTTAGTATGTTTTTCCTAAATTGCAATCATTTTTTTGCAACTTTATATTAGTTTTATTTTTATTTTATTTTATTTTATTTCTTTCATCATTTGAACTCAAGTTTTCTTAATTTTATTCCTTTTTATGTCATTTTTTTATTTTCATTTTTTATTTTTATTTTTTATGTTTTTATGTCACATGATCATCGCATAATGTACTTTCTTTTTTATTTAATTCATTCTTTTTCTTTCTTTGTTCTTTCTTTCTTTTTCTTTCCTCTTTTCTTTCTTTCTTTCTTTCTTCACATTTAATTAGACAAATAGATATTTACCTTAAAAACCACTCTCTCTTTTATAATCCTTTATCCCTTTTTCATTCTCTTTCAGTCTTTCCTGATTCAGTTTCTCTTTCTTTCTCTCGATGTTCTCTAGAAAAAAAAGAAAAAAAAACTTTTAAGGAAACATCTTTTCAGTTTTTCTAAAGACTTTTGTTATCATATTTAAACCTGTTTGCTTTCGCATAAAAAAAATGTCTTCTTTGTTCCTTAACTGGCATCGTTTTCCATCTCATATGAGTTTTCGAATTGCGTCCTTCGTCTTTTTTTTAAATGGAACGTTGCCTATCTAATTTGTTCGCCTCTTAGGAAGGGGAAATTATTTCCAATATGCTCACCTCATCATCATAATACTACCATACCATGGACCATATTTGAATTTGTAGTTGCTGCATAAGTTTAATTCACTTTGTGCATAAGTAGACAATATAGTGGAAAATCGACGATATTTTTGCGTTAGAACATAACGTCGTGTAGGGATTCCTGTTAATGACCTGTAGAAGGCGGCGCCAAAACACTATACATGAAAAGGATAAATAAATTTCTCTCATAAAGTTATCTTCCCTTCCTTATCTGTGGGCCCCTTTCGCCTCCAGTTAACCTAATGTCGCATTGTACATAATAAGAACTATTAGGTTGGTGCAAAAATAATGTCGTTTTTGACGTTAACTTGAACGTCAAAAAACGACATTATTTTTGCACCAACCTAATATCATATAAAACACAAAATCACCTCACAACTATAAGTCTGTCGCAATCCTTCATAGAGACTTCCTACATCAAATTTAGGATGAGAGATAAGGAAATTGAACAGCTGTTTGATTAACTAATTGTTTTGGTTTTTATTTAAAGCCAGAAAATAGTTTTTAGAATATATGTTCGATGATGTTTGATTTTTTCTGACAGGTATATCAAACTACCCGAGTTAACTTAATGCCAAAATATAAAAAAATTAACACGTGTAAGATATTTAGATAATAATGTCTTTGTAATACAAGTCTTACTAATTAACCCATAGCTGGGGGGAAAGAGTTGGAATCATACGTTTCCCAAAAGTGGAGAAAGAAGAGCAGGAATTGGAACTTGGCTCTTCGATTAACAATTACGAAAATTTATTACACAATTCGCACGTCCAAGGTTACAGTACCTGTTATTACCAAGCGGGTTCCATTTAGGTATTGAACAGACTTGACGTTGCTTAACTTCGTTTATCGTACAGAAAATGATGTTTCAACGTACTAATACCGTAAGCCGTTGATAATAAAGATTTATTGATACAAGTTCTACTAATTAAACCCATAGCTGGGCACGGGGGAAAAGAGGTTTAATAGTTTTCTCAGGTTACTTAATGTAATTAATCCAAATGATATAATATATATATATATATATATATATATATATATATATATCAGGAGACATGGCACAGTGGTTGAAAACGTGGAACTAGAACAGTCTACCCCAGTGAACGTAATAAATTATTCTTTTCGACATTCCAACCAACTGAGGGATGTCAACGGCTGAAACGTTGTGATAAACCTGACGACAAAGATGAGGACAATAATCCGAATATGAATATATATATATATATGAATGTGTGTGTGAGTAGAGGATTAGTTAAATGAAATAACTAGATATTAGCGAACGTATACGCGTGTGTTGGCTTGCATATGTTCGTAAGCAAATAAATAATTAACAAATTTACCCAAGAGGTGTAGAAATAATAGTGCTCAATGTCATTTGAAGATATAAGAAATATATATTAATAAATACACATATATCTGCTTTTGTTTTCGACTCGAGTCGATTTCATATATATATATATATATATATATATATATATATATATATATATATATATATAAATTAATAAATGCCCATATACCTACGTTTGGAGTGCGACTTAAGTTTCGTTGTTTACCCAACTCGACGTAACCAACTAACTTTAGTCGATGTATATGTGTATTTATTAATTTATATATATATATATATATATTATTATTACTGTTATTATACAGTATAAATGCGTATATTGTGGCAACGTTTTCATTCTTTTGTCCGATATATAAAAATAGATGATTTTTTTTTATCTTCATTCGTAATTATATTTTAAGTATTATTTTTAAGTATGGCTCCGTAAATAAAAAATGAATTTCATCGAAAATCTCATCGCCGATGAACAAATGAAATCAGAATATTTTTATTCAATTCAATTTCTTTTCTCTTTTGAAACGACGACCAAAATAAACTTAGATTTGCTTCGTTTTACGACCAAAACTATTCTCAGAAAACGGTCATGGAAATAATATTAAATTCATATATATTTTAGATTGGCGGCAAGATCTCATCAATTTGCAGCTGAAATATTTATGCTAACAGTTTCTTTTCTCGTACTTCTCGATTGTGGAAATCGCTTCCTGTTTCTTTACTTCCAGTCAGTTTTGATCTTCAAAACTTTAAATGCAATATCAATCGTCACCTTATATCTTCGTAATTTTTGTTCTTTTATTGTACTTTCTCCTTAATAGTAGTTTATTTCTCATATTCTCTAACACTCAATAACCACTTCGCATCCTAGTGGCTTTATTGCCTTTGATCTTAAAAAATTTAAATGCAATGTCAATCGTTATCTTCTGTCTTCTTAATTTCTGTTCTTTTATTGTCCTCTCTCTTTAATAATGTTTTATTCGCATATTTTTCATATTCTCTAGCACTTAGTAACCTCTTGTGCCTTAATGGTACTAATACACACAGACATATTAATAAATACACATATACCTACGTTTATCGCACATATATACTGCTGCTAATATCTCGTTATTCAGTTTATATCCACACTTATATCTATCTATATATCTATAAAAACAATATATATCTATATCTATCTATCTATCTATCTATCTAGATAGATAGATAGATGAATAGATAGATAGATATAGATATATATTGTTTTTATACGTTTTTTTATTGATACGATGTTTTTAAGTAAATGCTCTTCTTTTAACTTAAACAATATTAATTACATTTACCCCTCCTGAAATTTCGTAGTATATATTCGTTCTCGGACAGGAATCGAACCTGTATTCCTATACGGAAACCGTCATTTGATCTGACGTGCTATACTATTTAGCTAATTTTCTACTAAATTTCTTGAAAATGCAGACCGGTAAATGTAATTAATAATGTTTAAATAAAAACAGAGCATTTACTTAAATAAATTCTATCTAAAAAATAACGTATATACAGAAAATATATTAAATAATTGTCTGACTTTTATTTGCTTATATATATATATATATATATATATATATATATATATATATATATATATATATATATATATATATATATATATATATATATTATAAATTAATTGATTTAAAATATGTTTTTTTCAATTACAGAGCATTAATATTATAAATTAATTGATTTAAAATATGTTTTTTCCGCTACACAATTCTAACCATGTTTCAAAAATGAAACATGGTTAGAACTGTGTAGCTGGAAAAAAAAAACATATTTTAAATCAATTAATTTATAATATTAATGCTCTGTAAATTTACATTGAGCACTATTTTGTAAAAATAAAAGTATCTATAAGAACACAGGATTATATATCTTACTGTTCTTTCTTTTTATTTAAATACATATATATATATGACTTCACATATTATGAAATGGACAAAGTCCGACTATTATTTTAAGACATTTATTTTATGTTTATACGTTCTATTTGTACATACAGCTATTTAAGTAAATGCTCTGTTTATAAAAAACAGTATTAACGACATTTACCGGCCTGAATGTCCGAGAAGTTTTCATAGAAAATAAGCTTTCTGCGACAGGAATCGAACCTGCATCCTATATGGAACCGTCATATAGCCTGACGTACTTTACCGATTTAGCCAGCAAGGAGCGTTGCTTTTAGTAAGTTCGATTTTACTGTTTCTAAACTACAATTCTTCATGATTTTCTCCCGTTCTTTCATATCTACTCGATGCGTAACAAAATGTAAACAAATGATGTCACACATTATGAACTGGACAAAGTCTGACAATTATTTTTAGAAATTTTTATATTTATAAATTTCTTTTATCTCTGTAAAATATATATATATATATATATATATATATATATATATATATATATATATATATATATATATATATATATATATATATATATATATATATGAAAACAAGTTTTTTTTACAACGTAAAAAAAACTTCAGGGATTATCGTGGGGTTTGTTGTACGGTTTAATTAAATTCACAGCAAATACCTTTTATCTTTTTTTCTCTCTCCCTCCCCCTCCTTTCTATGCCCAAGTCGACACAGGCGCCCCAAAGTGCCCGAGCATAAACACACGAAAAGGAACAAAATAAAATGCATACATACACACACCAATGACTAAATTCAATTTCATAGAATGAAGGAAAGATATAGGGAGACATACATACACGATTAAGGGTTGAATACGAATGACAGCCATGGACACATCAAACACATGCACCCACGTCAAGGGTATGATTTAGAAAAACGTACCCTTTGGGAATTATATTCACTGTCGAAATCCACCTAGTAAAATGTCCTTCTTTCTCTCTCTCTCTCTCTCTCTCTCTCTCTCTCTCTCTCTCTCTCTCTCACTCACTTTTTCACTCTCTTTCTCTCTCTCTCTCTCTATCTCTCTCTCTCACTCACTCACTTTTTCACTTTCTTTCTCTCTCTCTCTCACTCACTCACTCACTTTTTCACTCTCTTTCTCTCTCTCTCTCTATCTCTCTCTCTCACTCACTCACTCACTTTTTCACTCTCTTTCTCTCTCTTCATCTATATTGTCGTCTTTCTTTCTTTCCTCCTTTCTCTCTTTCATGTAAAATTTCATTCATAACTTTTTTATCCATGTCAGCTTTCTTTCTTTCTTTCTTTCTTTCTTTCTTTCTTCTTTCCCTCCATTCTTTCTTTCTTTTTTCTTTCTTTCTTTCTTTCTTTCTTTCTTTCTTTCTTTCTTTCTTTCTTGTCAGTTGTCTTATATATATTTCTTTCTTGCCTTTCTCCTTTTTATCTTTCACGTCAAGTTTCATTCAATTATTTCATTCATCTATGCCAGTATTCTTTCTTTCTTTACATCTTTCTTTTCCCTTCTTTATTTCATTGTTTGTTTGTTTGTTTCTTTCTTTTATAAGTATACATACTTTTCTTTTTTTTCTTTCTTTCATTTTATCAATTGATCGTATTTTTTAATTCTAGATTTTCTTTTTTCTCTCTTTCTTATCAAGTTTCATTCATATTTTTAATTAATCCCTATCAGATTTCTATCTCTTTCTTTCCTTTTCTTTATTTCTTGCTCTGTTCCTTTCTTTCTTTATTTCTCTCTCTCACTCTCTCTGTATCTTTATCTCTCTTTTTCTTTCTTTGTCTCTTTCTGTTTTTCTCTCTTTCTTTAGTTAATGTTGTTTTTTTTCTCTCCTCGGTTTTCTGCTTCAGTTCAAATGTCATTCATGTACTTCCTTCCTCCTTGCCATTATTCCTTCTCTCTTTTTTTCTTTCTTTCTTTCTTTCTTTTTTCTTTTTTTTCTTTCTTTCTTTCTTTCTTTCTTTACTTATTTATTTATTTAGTTAGTTATCTATTTCACTCTCTTTCTTTCCTTCTTTGTTTCTCTTTCTCTTTTTCATTCTTCCTTTCTTTCTGTTTCATTTTCTTTCTTTCTTTCTTTCTTTCTTTCTTTCTTTCTTTCTTTCTTTTACAAGCATAAACTGTTTTCTTCTTTCTTTCCTTCCCTCTATTTATTGACCTCTCTTTTTATTTCTGCCCTTTCATCTCAAGTTTCATTCGTATCTCTCATTCATTTATGTCAGTAAAGGGCCGCTCAGCAAAGGTTCAACCAATCGTTCCCCTGCATTTTGACCAGGATCAGTGTTGTATATCTTGGCTTGACTGAATAGGAGTAAAGCCATTAAGTCTTCTACTAAGATCAACCGATCATTCACCTGTCTTCCAGTCAGGATCAATATATTATATCTTCGCTCTACAGAAGACTACTGAGGCTTTAAGTGCAATTCTTCCTTTGATCATCTGCTAAGATCAATTGATCGTTCGCTCTAAGATCAGTGAAATGTTAATGACTATTCCTATTCGAAATTCTGCTAAGATCAAATAATTTTTTCCTTGCTCTCCGACCAGGATCAGTATAGTACATCTTCGCTCGCCTGGTGATCTGTGAAATGTTAACAGCTATTCTTTCTTTGAACTGTTATGATCAACCAATCGTTTACCTTGCCTCAGACCAGGATCAGTTTAGTATATCTCTGCTCTACGCATGATCAGCAATCCTGGGTATGACGATAAACTACATCCTCGTCCTGGATAAGACGATAAATTACGTCCAACAACAAGGCCTCTAATCAGGAGGATTTGAGGAGCGTGGAAATTAAGTAAGTATAAAAATTGAACTATCTAAGAACTGTCTATATTTCTGAGATGAGGTATCTTGTATATTTACATTATTCGGATTATTGTCTTCATCTTTGCCATATTTATTACAACGTTTCGGCCTTTCAGTACCTGTCTATATTTCTGAGATGAGGTATTATGTACATTATTTACATTATTCGGACTTATTTGTCTTCATCTTTGTCGCCATATTTATTACAACGTTTCGGCCTTTCAGTACCTGTCTATATTTCTGAGATGAGGTATTATGTACATTATTTACATTATTCGGACTTATTTGTCTTCATCTTTGTCGCCATATTTATTACAACGTTTCGGCCTTTCAGTACCTGTCTATATTTCTGAGATGAAGTATTATGTACATTATTTACATTATTCGGACTTATTTGTCTTCATCTTTGTCGCCATATTTATTACAACGTTTCGGCCTTCCAGTACCTGTCTATATTTCTGAGATGAGGTATTATGTACATTATTTACATTATTCGGACTTATTTGTCTTCATCTTTGTCGCCATATTTATTACAACGTTTCCGGCCTTCTTCAATTGGTTGGAATGTCGAACTGAACCCTCTATTTCGCTCACTGGGGTAGACTGTTCTAGTTCCACGTGCCATGTTTGATGGATGTCAGTTATCAGTTATCTCCTGTTAATTCCCCCTCCAAGTTCTCCACTGCCTTAACTGTGTATTGTCCTCAAGGACACATGGCACAGTGGATAAAGGCGTTGGTTAGATCCAGTGACAGGACCCAAAGAGTCTGAGTTCAGTACCCGGTTAAGGCAGTGGATAACTTTCAGAGGGAAATTAACAGGAGATAACTGATAACTGACATCCATTAAACATGCCATGTGGAACTAGAACAGTCTACCCCAGTGAGCGAAATAAAGTGTTCAGTTCGACATTCCAGTCACCTGAAGATGAAGGAAGCCGGAGCGTACAACGGCCGAAACTTTCTAATAAATATGGCGACAAAGATGAGGACAATATTTCGAATATGTACATAATGTATCTAAGAACCGTTTTATTAGAAGAAAGAAATCCGATACAAAAGTTGCGTTGGGATAGCGAAAAATCCCTGCTAAATCTAAGTAATATATTAAGAAATCGGAAAATTTCATTAGAAAAAAAAGAAAACCGAAATATTATGTAATATCATTACTCCTGTATATAAGTGAAGCTGGGCGGTCTAATCACAGATGAAAAAGAGAGTCTGTCTATATTTCTGAGATGAGGTATTATGTACATTATTTACATTAGTCGGACTATTGTCCTCATCTTTATCGCCATATTTGTCACAACGTTTCGGCCGTTGTACACTCCAGCCTTCTTCAGGTGGTTGAAATTTCGAACTAAACCCTTTATTTCGATCACTGGGGTAGACTGTTCTAGTTCCACGTGCCATGTTTGACGGATGTCAGTTATCAGTTATCTCCTGCTAATTTTCCCTCTGAAAGTTCTCCACTGCCTTAACCAGGTGTTGAACTCTCCTTCTTTGGGTCTGTCACTGGATCTAACCAACGCCTTTATCCACTGTGCCATGTGTCCAACCACCTGAAGAAGGCCGGAGCGTACAACGGCCGAAACGTTGTGACAAATATGGTGACAAAGATGAGGACAATAGTCCGACTAATGAAAAAGAGAGTTGAGACAACATGAATGTGCGTCAGCAGAAGGATGCTGAGAATACTATGGATTGAACACATGACAACGACATTGTTTTAGGAAAAATGGAAACAAAAGAGACACTGATTCTTGACATCAGCAGGAGAGAGTGGAATATTCGACGAAAATTCTCCGAGGAAAGGGAGCTAGGAAACTTGACACTCACAAGGGAGCCAAGAGGGACAGACGAAAGCATCGTATAACCTACCTAAAGAGCTTGTGGAAATGGTTGGCAAAACAGCGATAGCGAAAACCTAATTTGAGCTACAAAAGAACAGGAAGAAATAGGGAGCCATTATGTGTATCATAATCTGTATTATTGATCTGTTACCTTTGCGGCAACAGGAATGTGGTTCTACAGAAAGATACTGAGAATGCTATGGAATGAACATGTGCGCAATGACAGACTCCTGGGTAAAATCAGAATAAAAAGGACACTTAGAACCAGAAAGAGAAGGTTGAAATTCTTAGGACACATAATGAGGAAAGATGGTTTGGAGAATTTGGCACTCACAGGGTATATTAAATGTAAGAGAGACAGTAAGGCAGCAAATAACATACTTAACAAGATTGTTTAAATATTTGACAAAACGGGGATTAGGGGAGATGTCAAAAATACCAAACTTACTTAGGGCTACAAACAATAGGACGTTATGGAGAGCTATGATCACGTAGTTCTGGAGGGACACTACGTCTAGAAGAAGAAAATAGTGTTTTAACAGATGACTGAAAACGTGTCACCGAATTTGGAATAAAGAAAGGTGCCTTTAAAAAGCTAAATAAAGTATTAAGAAACAGGAAATATTGTGAGGACAAAAGAAAAGTGTAGTGAATGTAATTTCACTCCTCCTATACTGAAGAGTCAGCTTAATTTCCATACAGATGCAAAGGATACTGAACTCCATAGAGATGCGCTTCTACAAAAAGAGGCTGGGAATAACATGGATGGAACATATGAGTAACGAGTTGAAGTAGAATTTAGAAGGAACCGGAAAGACAATGCTAAACAGGAAACAAAGGATAGACCTCTACTCCTGTTCAAAAGAGAGGAGAAGAGTATCAAGCGGACGACATACGAACTTATTTTCTCCTATTGAAAAAAAATAGAGTTTAAGCGGAGATGTTAGAAATATAGAGTTGAAGTAGTGTTTAGAAGGAACTTAAGCACGATCTTTAAAAGTAAACAAGGGATAAACCTCTACTCCTGTTCAAAAGTGAGGAGAAGAGTATCAAGTGGATGACAGACGAACTTATCTCCTCATATTGAAAAAAATAGAGTTTAAGTGGAGACGTTAGAAATATAGAGTTGAAGTAGAGTTTAGAACGGACTGGAAACCCAATCATAATTTGGAAACAAGGGATAAACCTCTACTCCTGTTCAAAAAAGAGGAGAAGCAAAACCGAACGATAGCTGAAACTATCTACTACTTTTTCATACACACCATGTTGTGTTTTTTTGTTGTTTAAGACCATACATAATGTCTTCTTGTACTTAATATCTAGCTCTTTCTTCTTGATTTCTTTTAGAAAGAGTTTTTACAGTTTTTCGGCTAAGTCTGTCATTTTTGTCTACTTATTTAAAAATTGTACGACAATTGCTCATGAATTTTAAACATATTTCTATATTGAACTTATTCTACTGCTGGGATTTATAGAATTATGTACACTTGCCCATCACTCTCTTAATCTTTCTTTCTTTCTTTCTTTCTTTCTTTCTTTCTTTCTTTCTTTCTTTCTCAGTTTTCTTTTTTTTTTCCATCATTTAAATCACTGTCTATTTTCTCTTTCTCTCCTAACTCATCTTTCTGTCATTATCTCATTTCTATCATGCATATGCAAACGCATTCACATACATTTAATCACGCACACAAAAACATATGTATTTTTATATTGGTTTATTCATTTATTCATTCCAACTTTTTTTTTTCAATTTTGCCATGCTCCTAATCTCTCTGATGCCAATTTTTTTTTCCTGTTCAAAACGATTGACTTGTTTAGACCCGGGCCGTTCTCCCAACCCCTGTGCACTTGCTCAAATTTCATTCCAGCCTTTGGTCCACCTCCCATCCCGCTTGCCATTTGTCTCCGCTTCTACTTTCACTTTCACTTTCAATTTCAAGTCTTACGCATTTCGAGTAGTTTTTTTTCTCTCGAATATGCTTTCATATAATTTTCTATTTATTTCAATGTCGTTCTTGTTTGACTCAACATTTTTACTCTTAAGCCCTTTACATTCAGATTGCTTTTCATTCTCTGTCATTTCGTATCCCTCATCAAGAATTCCTTTTGTTTATTTCCGTCCATCTTGTCTTTTAGGTCCTTTGACTTTCTTCTAATTCTCTCTTTTAATATTATTAGTTCCACCCACCTATTTCAATTTTTTTTGGTGTCCTTTACTTGTGTATTTACAGATTGATTTTTATCAGCCTTTCGCCATCTAAATGTTTCTATTCACTCTTCACTAATTTTTGTTTTACACTTTTCTTCCTTCTCCCCGCCTCCATTTCTTCATCTTCAATTTCTAAATTCGCTCTCCCATTGTTTTCTTCCTCTCCTACTCTAGTTACAATTAATAATTGTCATTACATACTCTTCTTCTTCTTCTTCTTCTTCTTGTCCTTCTTCTTCTTCTTCTTCTTCTCGTCCTTCTTCTTCTTCTTCTTCTTTTTCTTCTTCTTCTTCTTCTTCTTCTTCTTCTTCTCCTCTAATTTTGTTCACCACTCGTCTTCCTCCACATAGGCTTCAACTCCTGCCTGTATCGCTCCTCCATCTTCTCTTGATACTTTTCAGCGCACACGCTTCTTCTTCTTCTTCTTCGTCAACTCTCATCTTCCTCCCCTTCTCAACATTCTTCCCGTTCTCATCCTTCTTCTTAATCGTTACTTTCTCATTTTGTTACACAGATATCTCCTTCTTCTTATAATTGTTTCTTCTTCTTCTTCTTCTTCTTCTTCTTCTTCTTCTTCTTCTTCTTCTTCTTCTCTAATTTTGTTCACCACTCGTCTTCCTCCACACTGGCTTCAACGTCGTGCATCTTTTCAGCTCACACTCTTCTTCTTCTTCTTCTTCTTCTTCTTCTTCTTCTTCTTCTTCTTCTTCTTCTTCTTCTTCTTCTTCTTCATCTTCTTCTTCTTCATCTTCTTCTTCTTCTTCTTCTTCTTCATCTTCTTTCTCTAATTTTGTTCACCACTCGTCTTCCTCCACACTGGCTTCAACGTCGTGCATCTTTTCAGCTCACACTCTTCTTCTTCTTCTTCTTCTTCATCTTCTTCTTCTTCTTCTTCTTCTTCATCTTCTTCTTCTTCTTCATCTTCTTCTTCTTCTTCTTTTTCATCTTCTTCTTCTTCTTCTTCTTCATCTTCTTCTTCTTCTTCTTCATCTTCTTCTTCTTCTTCTTCTTCTTCATCTTCTTCATCTTCTTCTTCTTCTTCTTCTTCTTCATCTTCTTCATCTTCTTCTTCTTCTTCTTCTTCTTTTTCTTCATCTTCTTCTTCTTCTTCTTCTTCATCTTCTTCATCTTCTTCTTCTTTTTCTTCTTCGTCTTCTTCTTCTTCTTCTTCTTCTTCATCTTCTTCATCTTCTTCTTCGTCATCTTCTTCATCTTCTTCATCTTCTTCTTCATCATCTTCTTCTTCTTCTTCTTCATCTTCTTCATCTTCTTCTTCTTCTTCAACTCTCATCTTCCTCCGCATCTTTTCATTCTTCACCTCCTCATTCTTCTTCGTAATTGTTACTTCCGCATTTTGTAACACAGATTTTTCCTTCTTCTTATAATTGTTTCTTCTTCTTCTTCTTCTTCTTCACTTTCTAATTTTATTCTTTACTCGTCTTCACCTTTCTCTACTCTTCCTTTTCTTTCCTCTTACACGTCCTTCTTTACTTTCCAATTTACTCTTCACTCATCTTCTTTCAATTATCCTCCCTTCTTCCTCCTTCTCACCCTTCTTCTTCTTCTTCTTCTTCTTCTTCTTCTTTTTATTTTTGTTTCACTTCGTCTTTTCATTTCCTACCCCATCCATTAACTCATCATAGTCTTCTTTCTTTTCTTTTTAATTTCATCTACCGACCTTCTTCTTCTCGGTCTTTCTTCATCTTCTTTCTCCTTCTTGTTTTTATTCTTCGTTTGCCTTTTCTTCTTCAATCTAATTATCATCACTAACTTATCATATTATCTTCGAAGGCCTTTATTTTCTCTCAACTTCCCGCTAAATTCTACTTCCTATTTCAATCCAACCTTAACTATCACTCTATATATCTGACTCATTCTCTCTTTTATTGTTTTCCTCCAATCCTTATTTTTTTTTATTTCGTATCTTTTAGGGACATTTGCCTTAGCAGGTTCTCTTATATTGCTCATGCAAACGCCATTTTGTTTGCTTCTCATATTTTAAGCTGTTTTCCTTACCTGATGTTTTGCCAATTCTTTATTTCGGCTTTCATTTCATTTATTTGTTTCTTTTTAATAGCCGCATCTTTCTTCCGTTGGGGACTTCACATTTTTTGTCATTGTCACTGTGCATACATTTCGTCTTTTGGTTGATTTTTCGCGTCTCTGATATATTCCAAAGATTCTCTCCTTCAGTTTCTGCCTATCAATTATATATTATATACGTATATCAAAATAAAATGAAAGAACAGTCAGCTTCTCATCATTTATATTTAATATTTATTTGGTCGATAGGTAGAGCATAACATTATATATATATATATATATATATATATACTCAACTCCCCGTCGAATTCGACGTAGGAGGGTCAAGCAGATTGGTTCCTAGGAAACCGACAGCCCGACAACAGCACATGAGATGTGTTTATAGCGGTGAAGGTTTCGTGCAGGGCCATCCACTCATCGGTGAAGGGTAATATATATATATATATATATAAAGTATATAAACGGAATGAATTCCAATAACCAACAATTACTATTCTTAAAAACAAATAGAGCAGATATAATTATTTTATAAAAATTATAACATAAGTATGTTATAAGATCACTACAAAATAGCCATTTGTTTCAACACATTCTGTGTCTTCTCAAGTGATGATGTTGAAAATAAAATAAATGGTTTTAAAAAGTTTCAGATTAATTAACGATCCTACACTAGGGGAGCATTGTTACAAAAGCTAGAATAACCAATCAAAAACGAAGTATAGAAAGATTCAAAAGCTTGACAACGAAATCCTGCTATAATAGCTATTCAGATCTTTAAATATGTAATATTAAAAATAATTTATACTAACTAATAATTATAAAATCATATGATAAAATTTAATATTAAAATTAAAAATTGGTAATTTAAAATCCAAATTTAATCACTATTAAGTTTAAAACTACAAAATTATTGAGAAAAGAAAAATATATATGTTTATTCAATTCATTTCTTCATTGAAATTATGTTCGACAAAGGACGCTACAATATATCCGGTCATTTGATAATACATGTATATATATATTTTTCCCTTTCCTTTCATTTCCGTTTTTATTTTAAGTTTGTGGATGTGGTCTTAAACTCACGCGTCAAGACAACAAAACACAATCAGATTATAATACATAAGCACCCAGACAATTAGATACACATGACATACACACACAACACACACACACACATACATACATACTAAAAAAAAAAAAAAAAAAAAGAAAGGAGGTGGTGGGGGAAAAAACATGAACATCTCTACAGCCTTTTTTTATTATAAGAATAGAATAGACATATCGACAGTAACTTGAGAATATCAAAGTATATAATGGTATATGAAAATTCCAAAACCAACATTACTATTCTTAAAGATCTTACAAAGTATACTTATATAATTATTTTTTATAAAAATTATAACATAAGTATGTTATAAAATATATAGCCATTTTTTGTTTCAGCACATTTTTAATAATGATGATGTTGAAAATAAATTAAAATAATATTTATTTTTTTCATATCATCTTTGATATTAGAAATAAAAGCCCTGTTTATTCTATTCTTATAATAAAAAAATGGAATCTAAAAAAGATAAGAACAAAACACCTACGGTTAAATGGAGTTTGGTTAAGAAAGCTCGTACATGTAACTCCCTATATACCCCATGTTACCTATGCCTTAATGAAAAATTTGAAATTATGAGATTTAAAAACAAGGCTGATCTCTTAAATCAAAGATATGAACTTACAGTAAATTGTAAACACCGTTATAAATTTAACTTAGTGTAGGGGTCGTATACTTTAAATGATAATGATATGTCGCTGTATTTTTAATAGATTAGTGTTTTTAATGATATTACGATATAAGTGTGTATTGTATACCTGCATAGTGTTATAAGTGTTGATGCAAATGTGTATATATTTATTTATGTGTTGGTTAGAGTATTGGCACTGAGGAATGTGTAGGTTGGTGTATGTGTATTTATTGTTTGTTTTTTTTTGTTTTTTTTGTATAAATATATATATATATATATGTGTGGGTGTGTATGTGTATATATATGTGAGTGTGTGTGTATATATGTATATATAAAAGGTATGGTAGATGATTTAATTGTTACGCTATATATTATGTGTGTGCCTATATATGTACGTGTATATGGTGTGTGTATATGTATGTATATATATATACATATATATATATAATGTATATATATATATATATATATATATATATATATATATATATGTGTGTGTGTGTTGTATATATGTATATATGTATGCATATATATATGTATGTATGTGTGTATATGTATGTTTTGTGTGTGTGTATATGTATAAATATACATATGTATATGTGTGTGCAGTATAATGGCCAGCATGGTTCGCGGATTAGGTGCGACTGAGTAATGAATTAGTTCCTCAAAATTTCTTTTACTATATATTTATATATATATGTCTGTGTGCGTGTATGTATGTATGTATATATATATATATTGTGTGTGCATATATATATATCTGTATATCTATTAATATATCTATATTTAAGTATATTTCTGTTTGTAAATATATTTGTATGTTAGACTATATGTATATTGGTGTGTGTTGGTTTTGAAGGTATATTTATGTATCTATATGTTACGACGTATGTATTTGGTTGAGTGTTGTTGTATTTTTTTATGTATGCATGTGTATATGGTTAGTTGTTAAGGATATTTTTATATATATGTTTATTTATAATATGTAAATATATTTATGTATGTTTATGTGTATATATATATATGTGTGTGTTGGCACCTATTATGTATAGTTTGTTTGTGTGTATGTGGGGTTGGAAACTTTGGTATATCATGACTGTTTTTTATACGGTAATATGTGTGCATAAAAGTTGTGTGTATATATGTGGGTGTATTTAGGGTTTATATGTATACACTGCATGTGTACTTGTTATCATAGATATGTATATGTTCGTTTTATGTTTATATATTTATTTGTATGCATTTCTGTATGTAAATATATATGTATATGTATGTTGTATATTTATGTGTGTTAATTTGTTTTTGCTCCGTGTATATATATATATATATATATATATATATATCGTTGTGTGTTTTGTATACTGTTTTCCTTGCCTAATATATAATGAAGCTATTATAAACTTATATGATTAATATATATTTTTATTGATATTTATGGTTTAGAATTTTCGTTTTAATATATTAAATAATATTATTTTTTAACCATTTTATCTTTGTATATTTGCTCCCTTAAGTTATAATTCAATAAGTGGTTAGCATTTATTTAAGTCTGAAATATTTATTGTTGTGATTTCTCATTGTCTGTCATTGTCTGTGGATGTATGTATGTGTATCTATCGGTGTCTATGTGTATGTAGAGTGTATTCACTGTGTGTGTGTATTAGTGTTAGTTTCCACGTCTAGGGGCTGTAGAGATATTATGTTTTTCCACCACCTCCTTCTTTTTCCAGTGTGTGTGTGTGTGTGTGTGTGTGTGTGTTTGTGTGTGTATGTGTGTGTGTGTGTGAAATTATGTCTGGGTGCTTATGTATTATAATCTGATTGTGTTTTTGTTGTCTTGACCGTGAGTTTAAGACCACATCCACAAACTTTAAAATAAAAAAAATGAAAGGGAAAGGGAAAATATATATTAAATTATCAAATGACCGGATATATTGTAGCGTCCTTGTCGAACATAATTTCAATGAAGAAATGAATTGAATAAACATATATATTTTTTTCTTTTCTCAATAATTTTTGTTTTAACTTAATAGTGATTAAATTTGGATTTTAAAATTACCAATTTTTTAATTTTAAATTAAAATCATATGATTTTATAATTATTAGTTAGTATAAATGATTTTTAATATTACACGTATTTTTTTTTATTATAGCAGGATTTTTGTCAAGCTTTTGAATCTTTTATTTTTTTTGAAAGCTTTTTAACAATGCTCCCCTAGTGTAGGATCGTTAATTAATCTGAAACTTTTTAAAACCATTTATTTTATTTCAACAGATATTGAGAAGACACAAATGTGTTGAAACAAAATGGCGAGTGATCTTATAACATCCTTGATTATAATTTTATAAAAAAATAATATATATATATATATATATATATATATGTATTTTGGTGATGTATACGAACTAAACCTAACTTTAAATTAACCTTAAAATTAAAATTTTTGTTCCATTGTCAAGCGATGTTGAATAACTTCCGATAAAATATTACACATCCCTTGAGAATGGAACAAAATTTTGATTTTAAGTTAAATTTAAACTTTAGTTTTTAGTTCCGAAATATGGTGATTTCTGTGTCGCGATTAATACATATTTTTTAAATAATATTATGATATATATATATATACCTTTGTGGGGGACTTGTGAATGCGTGTGTGTGTGTGAAGATGTTTAAAAACCAATATGTTTTGCGGGTAATGTTGGTCCATATAAGAGCGTATGTAAATATAAAGGTTGAAACTGAAATCAATGCCTAGCGACGACAGTCTGTTTCATGCTTGAATACATTCGTAAGGTCTGAAATATACTATAATTTAAAACTACGTTTATCATAAGTGATTGCCATTAGATATTTGAGTAATTCTTTTTCTATTTTAGAAACGGTCAAAAGACAAAAGGAATCTTGTTCCAGCCACGTACACTGGCTCTACTCGTCTTTACACCCATTCGTATAACATTGCTAAGGAAGAAGTTGAACTGTCCAGAACTGTCGATTTGCCAGGTATACTCCTGGTGTGATGTTTTCTATATCACTACCACCCTAGCCCCGTCTAGGTCCAAACGTTATCTATCCACTTATCTCCATAATATGAAATTATTTCTTCCTCCTTTTACAACTTCATAAAAAAATTATTCATTAAACCTCTACCTTGTGAGGCTCTTGGGCCTTGTATTGAGGAAAGAGTAGAATTAAAAATAATAGATTCAAGATCTTGAATAAGAATTTTTTTTTTTAATTTTCATTATTTTTTTTTTTAAAGTTTTACCCGAAGTCGTGTAAAATATTTAAAAATTGAATTAGATATTTAAAACACGCGCCGATGTTCCCGATGAAAGTTTTTGGTGATACCTAAACGGTTCGTTACTATCCGCGGATTTTCCTATCCCT